TTTTTTTTCTCAAATTTCACTGGCAAACAAGCATTGTTTCTTGCATTAGGGCGCTCATTGGGTAGCAGATACTGCCAAGGATGCTGTGGAAACAACTGAGGAAGCCGCGAAAAAGGTATAGTCTTTCGAGAGCCCATTCTGGCAAAAATAGATTTTCGTCAGAGTCACTTACGTCTTTTTCAGGGCACTGGCTGGGTCACCGAGACCGCCAAAGATGCCTACAACACAACTACCGAGAAAGTAGGGGAGGTAGGTGCTTAATTCGATGTGAAGGCGCTTTAAAAATGCAAATCAAATCAGGCGCTACTGATTGATAATGGAGCTAAATTAACCTTAACCGCATTTTGAAATACCCTTCCTCACTCAACATAAAGAATTCGGAACGATGAGGGTAATCTTCTCCTCAAAAAGAGAGCGATTTCTTCAACGCCTTTCCTGTGTTTCTGCCGCCTGAGGTGTTTTTTCCCCAGGCTGTTGGCTGAAACAACTCCAGACTGAGGTCCATAACTGATTCAAGTCACTAGAGTACATCAGCTACTGCCGGGAGAATCCAAATAGAACGGTTGGCATCAATATTGGCCGAGCCCAAACAACGAACTTGTGCACCTCTTGTTCCAAATACTTTGACAGAAAAATGACTTGCGTATCGCTGAGTAGGAAACGTGCAGGGCTCAGATCACCTCAAAGCGTTGATTAATAAGCTCATCGTGTGCTTTGCCTATGAAGTCGTTCGTTGACGACCACGGCTTCATGTCAAGAATGGGCTTGCCTGCTTGGAAGTTTCTATTGTGCGGCTGGAAAAGCATTAAAAAAATTAGCTTAATGCCTTACTGAACTGAACTTGACTTAGTAGCGAACTATTGGCTCCCATTTGAATTTGTATGTACTATGTCAACAGCATCATTCAGGGCGCTGGCTGGGTAAGCGATACCGTTAAAGGCGCCTACGATACTACGACTGGGAAAGTAGCCGAGGTTGGTGGAATGTTTTTCGCATAACGATATCAATATTTTGGAAAAGCTCCTTCACTGTGGCAACAACAAAACTTTTTTGTGGTTTGAGGACCTCACTTCCTGGATACCTTTTAGCTACTTAGTTTACGCTTCTCTCAAAACTATATCGAAACTCTACCAACCACTGGTAGAAGTTCAATACATTGTGAACAGAAGCATTATTTGAGTAGCTAAAAGGTAGATCCAGGAGGTGAGGAAATATAGTGCGTCTTAAACAAACGATTTGCTTCTTTCAAAGAGGTAGCATTGATAGGATTAGAGCTATTTTCTTGAGAGTGATCTCTATGAAGTATCCTTATTTCCAGACAGCCGACTGGGTTGGTGACAAAGCTCATGACGCTTACGATGCAACCGCCAATAAGGCTTCAGAGGTCAGTATCTATTATTCTTCATTTGATTTGATTTTGATCGGTAATTACAATGGTTTTTTCTTACCACGTACTACAATACATGTTCCATCATCATTTTTTCAAATATCAAATGCAAGTTTTTAGTTAACCCATTCTGCTGGTGAAGCAGTCGACAGCACAACAACCTATATTGGGGACAAAGTTTTCGATGCAAAAGAAGAGGCGGAAAAGGTTAGTTGTAAGGGCCTTGAATAGTAAATAATTTTCGAATTTCCATTTTGACTGTACACTAAAGATTACTCCTGAGGGCGAGATTACTATTTCTTATTTACTATTTCTTTTTAGCTTTTATGATAGTTAAACTATCGTGGTTATTTTTTATTGCCGTTTGTTTAGGATAAACTCTGCATATTTTTGAAGTGTTGCATTTGGGGGAACAGTTCTTTATACCATGAACTAGCCATCAGTACCATGAATGTGCTTAGAGAGAAGCAACTTCCGTTGTTTTCGATCTACTTTTGCAAGTTAGTCATGCTATGCATCAATTGGCAGCTCCTCCAAATATCTTTTCCAAGCCTCTTCTATAGTCATAACCTCTTACAGCCTCATTTTCATCACTTTTTTGAAGCCCTGTATTTCTTGCAATCCGCCGATATTCGACTTTCTTCGCCATTTTGTTAAGGACCTCAGAATATCTTGAACTGCGCCTCCATTCTATGAGGAACATATTCTGTTCGTACGGGAGGCAAGGGAGAAATTGTGTTGGTGTGTAAAACAGTTGGATTTATGAGTTAACAGTTGTATGCAGTAAGAATTAAAGCTAAGAGGCGAGGATGTATGCTTATTATACCAGAGAATTTTCAATTGAGCCTTTACACTGTACGTTGTAGACTTAATTGATCGAGGCGACGGTTCTTCAGACATATATTTCTGTTTTCAGGCAGCATCGGGTGCATTCGGTTTTGTGAAGGACACTTTCGCTCATGGGAAAGATAAAGTCGTAGACGCCAAAGAGCATGCCAAAGAGGTACCTTTGGATCTTTCCTCTCAGTTCAACGTTTCGTAATGTGCTGTTTGAACTTGCTGCAAAAATATGCTCCTTCCAGGCAGCTTCTGGTGCAGCAGACTCTGCTAAGCACGCACTCGATGAAGCTAAGGACAAAGCCTCAGATTTGGCAGATGGCGTAAAAGAGGTATGCGATGAACAGCAAAATCATACTCTGTAGAACATAATAGCCTTTCAAAGAGAATTCAATAAAGTTACTCTTGCAGGTTGGAAAAGATGCAAAGGATTCTGTAGCCGCGACTTTAGACAACACATACAATGTGGCTGGCGAATGGAAGGACGAGGCTGGGAAGAAAGCAGAGGAATGGAAGAGTGATGCTGAGAAGGTGGGTCTTTCTGATGACTATGCCTGCTTTGCTTGTCGTTGCGATTGCATTTTCTTTGAAAAGTTGGAGGGAAAGGGGGGGGGGACTTTGTTTTTGTTGTATACAACTCTTCAGCCAATGGTAAAGGGTCTTGATCATGTGAACCTTTCTTCCGCTACTTTCAGTTTTCTGCTTTCTGCTCGATGTTGATGTGTTTTTGCTTTCTGCTTGTTGTCGATCTTATTAAGCCGAAAATAAGCCCAATCTGATTCGGTTTGTGGTTCAAATGTCATTTTCTTGGGTGAATTACCGCTGAAATATTAGTAAATTTGATTTCAAGACAATGCAGCGCTTCACACTGAGATATTCAAACTTGAGATGGTTCGACCGGTCAGAATGGACCACGTCCCAGACTTATCTGGGACGTGGTCCACTCTGACCAGAAGAGTGTTCGATTTGGTCTGTTCAAGTCGGAATCGAGATTCCGCTGTTGATCTCAGTGACCCTGAAGGAAATCAAGGTTGGCAGGCTTCCTCACAACCGGTTAATTCTGAGCAGTATCACGGAGCCATGTCATTATACTATAGAAGTTTAAAGGTGTCTAACCGAAAGAAAACTACAGTACGTTGTAGGCTAGATAAGGGAGACGGTGGAAAGATTGGATAGACGAAGCTTGAAGGACCTGTTCTTTATGAACTTGGTCCTCTTTTCAAAAATTGCAAGTTTTGTAGCTTATTATGAGACAGTTCCTTTTTTTTTGGGTGTCCTGCGAAACCTGTTCGTTAGTATTCAGGTGGTATCTGACCTAAGTTCTTCTGCATCCCATGCTCTGGAAGAGGCAAAGGAAAAGGTCGAAGAGGTGGAGAACAAAGCAGAGAAGGTTTCATAATCATCATCAATCTTCCGAAAAGAGCTGTTTGGCTTGACATCATCAGATAGGAGTGCTTTTCAGAGCTCTTTAGTGGCCTTTAGGTAATATCCGACATAAAGAGTTCTGCGTCCCATGCTGTGGAGGAGGCGAAGGAAAAGGTGGAGGAGGTGGAGAACAAAACGGAGGAGGTTTCATGATCACCATCAATCTTCTGAAAATAGCTGTTTTGGTTAACATTATGAGATAAGAGTGCTTTTCAGAGCTCTCTAGTAGTCTTTAGGTAGTATCCGACATAAAGAGTTCTGCGTCCCATGCTGTAGAGGAAGCGAAGGAGAAGGTTCAGGAGGTGGAGAACAAAACGGAGAAGGTTTTTGGTCACCACCATTCTTTCAAAAACGGCTGTTTGACTTAACACTCTGGGATAAAAATGCTTCTCAGAAGTCTCTAGTGATCTTTAGGTAGTATCCGACATAAAAAGTTCTGCATCCCATGCTGTAGAGGAGGCGAAGGAGAAGGTGGAGAAGGTTGAGGAACAGGCTGAACAGGTCTGATGGCTTTGATCCATCTCTCTGTATCTCCTCTCTCACCTCGATCCTGAGTTTCGGGCTACTTTGTTTAATGTAAGAAATTATAAAGAAGTTGTTTCAGGCCGCTGCTGACGCAAAGGATGCCGCAGCGCATGCAGCAGAAGAAGCGCAAAAGAAGTTGGAAGGATGGAAGAGTGATGCGGAGAAGGTTGGGTTCTGTCATTCACTGGCTTGCCATTCGCTCTATCCATTCTTGATGAAGACGATTTTTNGATTCAGCTGCTCATGCCGTAGATGACGCGAAAAATACCGCAGCGGAATGGAAGGATGATGCTAAGGACAAGTTGGCGGGATGGGGCAGCGAGGCCGAAAAGGTGAATGATGATTTCCGATTGAAAAAAATTTGGAGAAATGCGAAAATTCAGTGAAATATCGAGTATATCCGCTTCTTTGGGGCGTCTGGGGGGAAGGGGGAGGGGGATTGAAAAGCCCTAGTTGCTCCTATTAATAGTGATCGTTCTTCTGGACTGTAATCATCAGACAGATTTCTTCTTCAGGCTGCACAAAAAGTCAAGGAATCCGCGGAACATGGCGTCGAAGATGTACAACACAAAGTGGAAGGATGGGCAACAGAAGCCAAAGATGTATGTTAAGGGGTCATGGTTAGAGAACTGAAGCACTTTTGATATGTTCTCTTCTTCAGAAGGTGCACGACGCTAAGGACTCAGTGGCACAGGCTGCAGGTGATGCCCAGAGTAAAGTGGCAGGTTGGAAGGACGACGCGAAGGAAAAACTGTCGGAATGGGGTAGCGAAGCTGAAAAGGTGGGTATATATTTCGATTGGAATTACCTAATACAAACAGTTTGCTGGCAATACAAAATGTAGTAAGGGTTAACCCCCGCCTGAAGGTGCAACCATCCGTTGCTCCTTTCGCTTGCTGCGGACTCGTGTAACAACAATGAAATAATCTGGCATGCAATCCTTTTACAGGCTGCTCACGACGCTAAGGATTCAGCTGCACATGCAGTAGACGACGCCAAGAAAACGGCAACGGAATGGAAGGACGACGCACACAAGAAGCTTGAAGGATGGGGCAGTGAAGCTGAGAAGGTGGGAATAATCAGTTATGTCAAATTGATTGCGGCAGAGAATGCGTTCTTTTGACGCATGTGTTTTTATCAATGCTTTTTGGAGTCTTTGCTGGTTGCTCCAGGTCGCTCTGCAGCCATTAGGAGTTTTACAGCCACTCTTAACATTACGTTGTACCGTTCGTACCAAGAAAACTTGGGTAGGGAAACTTCAGGGAAATTGAGAGTTGAACATCGGACACAGCCAATATCAAGGGGTTGAGAAGAAAGCCTATAGCACCTTCATCATTGATGTTCAGGCTGCTCACGAAGCTAAGGACTCAGCTGCACATGCTGTAGGCGACGTCAGCGCAAAGGCAGCTGAATGGAAAGATGATGCAAAGGAGAAGCTATCAGGCTGGGGCAGTGAAGCTGAGAAGGTGATTACCACTTTTTATAGATCTAGTAAAGCATTCTTCGATATTTTTGAATATTGCCGCATCTTTGTGAAGATGTACTTTTATCATCAGGAAAAGAGCTAGAACATGAGGTTACCTTGGAGTTCCAATTTGGGATTTTGTTGACTCTCTGAGGAGTCCTTAGCTTTTATACTGAAGTTATTTAGCGGAATTGCTACCACGCTAGCCGCTTTATTGCAAATTTCAAGGTGACAAGATCCCAGTACTGAACTTCCACCATGATTCTGGGAACATTTCAAACTTGGTATTCCCGTGTGTCCATCTCAAACTGACTCTCCTTGCGATCAGACATCACCAGGTCTTCCTAGCCTCATTCATCGAGCTTTTGTTGAGCAACGCTCACCAGTTCAACATAAATATAAGGATAGGATAGCGTATGCTAACTTTTCCATAAAGAACAGCTTGACATCCCCCCCCCCCCCCCCCC